CACGAGATAAAAGAGAATGTCCCTGATTACAAAACGGAATCACAGAGAAGGGAAAGAGAAAACAGAGCAAGAGAATCAAAGTATATTTTATGAATCACTAGTTACTTTTCGCGTTGTGTCGACTTCTTTTCGGGATCATTTATTTTTATCCAGTCAATTAATATTTCGCCTTAACATTGTGAGTGGCATTTTTAAGTTTTACTATTTATATTGGCATATTTAGTTTTTGTCTCGAAATGATATGGTTACTCTATTAAATTGGCCAAAATGCGAATAATGGCAAAAGTCCGGGGACCTGGTGAAAGTGACCAGGTGAGTTCGGAACCCAGGTCCGCCTTTTTAAATCAGAGCCAATTAAGCAGGCACAGTTTTTTTTCAATATTATTATTAGATTCTGTGAAAGGTTTGAGCGACGGAGCACCATTTATTTAATGGAATAATGTGTTAACATGGAGCCCAGTGGACACCGATCCCTGTCATGTTTTCATTACATTGTCATTTTTTAATTAAAACTAGGTATTTTAGTTTTAGAGGGGAGGGATGTAAAAAAATGTGTAAAAGTATGAATTCTTATCAGTGTGGATGGTTTGTTAGACTGTTGCCTTCACATCGAGTGAAAGGTGAAATAAGAGCATGGAAGATCAAAGGGATTTGGTTTTAGAAAACATATTCATCGCAAGGTCACTCATTGTAATAGACCTACATACTGCATAACCTTTATGTTTTTTTATGTGCAAATAATATTACAAGTGAATAACACTCATCCGTGTCGGTACCATCAGGCGGTATACGGTGGAAAACCCGCCGGAGATTATATGCCATCAAGTTAACAAGTGGGTTATTATATAAGCGTGAATTAATGTATTTAAGTAAAAGCAGGCATGCCTTATAAAGCGGCTTAAAAATTGCTCGGGGGAGTCGAAAAAAGTAAAACAAGGACGAACGGTTAACGGGGCCCGGTTTATTTTTAATATCGTATCCTTGGAAAGTACTAAACAAGATTGAAAAGATCAACTATCGTTCTTTTATCATTTTAATTGAAATTGTGTTTAAGCTTTTTATTTAAGATGATAAAATCGGTTTGAAAACGTCCCCAGAGGGAGGATTCGTACCAGCCGGAACGGAAAGGACACGGTTCGCGAGGATCGACTGCAACAGCGGGCGTAAAGGAACGCAACGGCGTGTTAAATCGAATTAGGGAAACATCACCCTTCATTTAATTACCCGTTAATTTGCAACCACTCCTCGGCAAAGTCGTCGTAGTCGAAATAGAACGAAAAACGGCTATTAGCGATTCGACTGGGTGGAAGGAGACGGAGAAATAAAGTATTACAAGGCTGAAATCCAGCCACGCCTTGCATATCGAGGATAATCAGGAAAAGATCATATCGGACCTTGACTCGGAGTCGAACGGACCTTTTCAAAATCGCTACCACGAGACTAATTATTATAATTAAGGTCACTTTCTTAATCATTAAACATATTCGTCTACTTGGAATAATTTCGATACTTGACTGTGTGAAACTGCAGAGGACCTTCGTTCGATTTTGCTACTAAGCCAAGAAATCTTGTACATTTTTTATAGAAAATACAAAAAGGAATAAAAATTTACTGAGCAAATATAAACAGTTTTTAATCTGGACTTCCACCCGAAGTCAATTGTTGAACCAATGGCCTACCCTGTTATGCTTCTGGGTCGCTAGTATCCTCCTTAAATCAGATGATCAGGAAATCGTCGTTTCCCAAACAACGGGGTTAGGCATCAGGGGTTTTCAGTTAGGTCATTACAGCCCTTAACGCATGCACTAAGTCCAAAACTAACATCTATAATACTCTCCCCCAAATAAAAACATTTCACTCATTCTGGTCAGACGGTGGTATTCTCCATATGCCTACTCACACAATATTAATGATCTAAACGAAATTATCATCGATAGGGTACTTTTATATATTGCCCCATCGATCCTGAACACACACACTACTGGAGGGGTGTTGGTGACGCTACATTTCATCATCAGCCCCTCACCACTCACTCTAATAAATACAAGCACTCAAACAAAACGCTAAACTATTACGAGCAGGACATTAATTTTTCTTCTCAACCTTCTATCCATAGAAATTTAAAAATATAATAAAAACTGATAACTAACAAAAGTAAAAACACTTAGCCACAAAACAATGTATATATATATATATATATAAATAAAACCTACGTCCTTCAAAAAGCTGAACTAGCTACTGAACAGTTTGTAAAGACCTTTGAATTTAATTTTTTTTAAATTGAACTTGAATTTTAATAAAATTGAAATAAAATGAGAACAGACTATGTTTAAGGTTTATTAATATTTTTTTGTTAAATGAATCATTGTGCAAATAAGATAAGAATAAAAATAAATTTTTCAAAATTTCCATCTGTTAAATGTTCTAACATATTCAGGAAAGTTATTCATACGTTTTTAAATATTTTATTATGTTTTATATAAATGAAAAGTCAAAGTTATTTAGCATATCGGTTTAAAATCGTCTTATTGACAATCGCGTATTGAAATTGAACTTGACCTTTTAGCTTGTACCTTTAACTTTTCTGATCTTTCCTTTCTCAATCATTCTTGTTTATTATTTTATGATTCTTTTGTGAACACTTCCATTATAATTAATACCCTGAACGATTTTACGAAATAACACATTTGCACAACAGACTTTAGACTGAACTAGAGTCGAGTGTGCTTTGAGTTCGATAATAGCCCACTCGCGTCGCATAAGCTTTTAGACTTTAACATATTTAACACAGCTCATTTCGCTTGAATACCCCTATTATCAATATTTTTCATTATCTAATGAAATATTATTTTTCAATTGAATTATCTAACTTAAATTTAAAACTTGAGTGTTTATATGAGTTTTACTGAATTTTCAACATTATTTAACATATTTCAAATGTTACAAGCTATTAAAACAACTCGTCGTTGATTTTTATCTGCTTTTTTTGTTTAAACATCCTATTTTTAACACATTTGATTTCTCTGATAAACACGTCAAACTTGTTAGAGTACTAGCGTACTTTAAATCATCAATGGTTAGTCTGGTCCGCACATTTTCGCTGTTCATTTTTTCCCAAATGATGCAAAACCATATTTATTATAATTTTTTTTAATTTTATTTTTTTTAAACGACAGATCTATGCAAATTTCAACCTTATCTTCCCGGGTTGCACAATATGTTAAAATGTCGACTAATTATTTCTTAACATGTTATTTATTTTATTTTTTAACTTTTAACAAACAATTTCGGATATCTTTATTAAAAAATTCCTGAATTACTTTGTCAGGTGTATTGCTTTTAGGTCAAATTTGTCGCTTCTTCAACGGTCCAATCTGAACACCAAATTATTTATTGTATGGTCTTTTCATATTACGGTAGGTTTCATAAAGGAGCGGAACAATATACAAGATATCACCTTCCAGGTCTTAGAAATACCAGTTATGATCGTAACCAGCAGCTATTTTACACATTCGACTGTACAAACAAGAAGTCACTTTTTGACAGATCTATTTGGAAAATTGTTCAAGTTTTTATTTGAGGCAGTGACCTATGTCGTTTATTTTTTCGAACCTTGTTGCTAGGTCTGCTTGAAGACATGCCACAATAGAAAAATTCACGCTGGGAAAACCAATAGAAGAGGTTTTTTCTTTATTGCCTTCATTTCCTGAAAGAGAAATGATTTTTTAAAGCGTAAAATCTCACGGAATAGGACCGGAATAAGGGCTGGAAAGCCGTGGTTCATTTTGAAATGATGACTAAGTTTTTTTAAAATAAGCTCAAGAAGTGTATTAAATGACATCAGTTTTGTTTTTTGAGAAATAACGCTACTATATTTTTTTTAAATAAGGCAAAACATTTACTTAACATGAACATCAACTTTTTTGGGCGTTTGATTTAGTTTAGAAAGTAAACAGAAGCAATATTAATTTTTGTAGGTTCTCGACTCGATTCATTTTGTAAATATTCGGATGTTAGACGTTCTAACCTACAAAACCAACCTTGCAGGAAACCTTTCCAGTTGAGTCTTGAATTTATGCTATTCTAACTCTGTATATTTGATTTATGTATCCAGATTATATTTCATTACTCATTATTCTTTTTATCTAAGGTTTTTGGTTGAGTTGAAAAATTAGTGTCACGAGCGGGATTCGAACCCACGACCTTCGGCTCAATTCGCCGCTACTCGAACCAGTTGAGCTATCGTGACTTCGATCCTCTCGGACATCAACTTCTCATCTCAACTTACAACCGTTCGAATTTTCCCTCTTTTTGACATATTTTCAATTTTATACTTTCTTTGAGGACCAGGCACCAAAAGTTCCCACTCAGTATTTTCTAATCCTTGGACCTTATTTAGTGTGGTGGTACAACGAGTACTCAGAACCGGTGTCTCACAAGGGAGCATTCTCGCTCCCACCCTTTTATAAAGCGGAGTTTCCTATACATCCCAATACCACATCATCAACACTTAAATTACTGAAATTTGTTATTTTAACCCGAACCCCATTAAAGCATTATTATCCAATAATACTTTGAACTTATCAAAAATTGATGCAAAACGTGGAGGACAAGACTGAATGAGGAAAAATATAAACAGGGTGTATTTTCTCAGAAAGAAATGTAATATTCCAACACAAGATTTAACTGAAGACTTTTACATTTTGAAGTCTTTACAAGTCTACTGCGGCCACTTTAGAAAAAAAGCACAGTTCTTTCTCCACGTATGGGTGGGTAATCTTCCTGGGCAAATAAATTGTTCAGCTATGCCAATTGTAAATTTCCCCTTCTACTAGTTAGATCGTGGTCACGACTCTATTAATTCTGTCTGTCCCTTCTTTTGCCCGCTCACGCTTCGTCTAGGAGGGCTTAAATGGCTTCGCTATCTTATAAAGCACGTATCCGTAAATTTTTACGTCCAGTCTGTATTTTTTTAAATTTGTTTATAAATAAACACATACCTTTTTCATTAGTAATATCCAGACGACTAGCGGCAGTAGTATTTTCATTTTCGCTGAAACAGAAAAAAATAAACATATAATAAACTGATAAATAAAGCATGACATTAATGTAAAAAGATGTTTAGGATGAAAAACTCTCGCGATGAAACTTTGTAGAAAATAGAATTTCTCGTCCCTTTATCTCGTTTCCTACTATTTTAAGGCATACAATTGTTTTAAATAAAAAAATGGCTGAGAAACAAATTTTCATAACAGATTTTTTAATAGTTTAAGTCAAAATGAATTTCATCCTACTATCTTTGTTTTATAGGACAATTTCTTGGATCTTAAAAAACCCCCCAAAAAACCGAGCCTCATTGAGTTTTATATCACTTAATTATTTCACTCTTATCAAAGTAAAAGGTATTTTGGTTATATTTGACTCCTGTTTAAACAAAACCTCATTGAATATTTATCTTTCGAGTCGTATTTGCCTTTTCTGGGACCTACATGGCAAGGAGAGTCCTATTAGCATGACATTGCGCAAAGCGGGTTGCAAAATTGTGGACTCTCCTTTTTGTAGAAATTTACATTTATGCCCCTACTCGCTTTCCGTCCGAATGACGCCAAGGAAGAAAATAAGCACAAGATGCACACAGGTGTTTCCAGTTTTGGGTCAAGGCTCGGAAATACATAAAATATATTGTGTTTTAAATCAATTGATCCGGCAATTTTCGCTTTCTATTTGAGCCAGGCGCCTTTTTCGACATGCAAGTATGAACAGGAAAGTAACAGTTTTTGCCCTAAAAATTAAACAACTTCCTCCGTAAATCCACATTCAACGTTATTTATTTGATTGTTCAAATTAGAATTAGAAACATTATTAGGTTACATTACACTTTCAACAGTCTATAAACGTATATTTGTTCCATAATTCAAAAATGGCTGGCTGAATCATAGCGAGAGTCGACGGACCAAGATTTTTATGAAAACTTCATTAAATAAAAGTGCCAAGAATGTAAATTTTATTTCAATTTTATATCTAAATAACAGAAGTCAATGTTAGGTCAAAGGGTCCGCCTGTTCTCGCTTTATTTCCAAATTCATTGGCTGCCGGTCCATATTGACTTTAACATTATAATAAGCACATATAAAATTCTAACTGTTCTGTAAGCCCTGTAAATGGTAATTACTATTCTCGACTTTCCCTTTCATTGTCTTGAGAGGTTTCCAAAAAGGTGAAAATGTGCTCGATAGATTTCGCAGGGTGATATTTCGAGTGAGTATACGTACCAGGAGGATCAAGATTGAATTTTGACCTTTTTTTTTCACGTGTTATGTGTAATGAATTGTTGGAATTTGGATTTGGGTTTATGTAAACTCAAATGTGTTGTGATTAGTGACCGTTAGTCGATGATTATTCTGAAATCGTGAGACGCGGTCTGGTGTGATGTTGGTTCCAGAAAAACATTTTCTTTATCGTGCCAACGTTTCGATCTTTATTGAGATCATCTTCAGAGCCTGGGATTTAAAAACATTGTTTAAATTTAACAAATGTAGGATGTGGAAAAAAGTGAATTTATACAATCCAAAAAATATTTTTTATATTCAATCTTTTTTTTAATTATCTATCTGGTCCTTTTGCGATTTGTCGAGCTTAAATGCACTACTACAAATAATATTTTAAAGAAAAATATATAAAATCATAAATGAAAAATATTTTTAAAAAATTACTTTTGTTTTAAAACCATTTATTAATACTTAACAGTTTAAAGAGCTAAAACCGAGAGAATTCACTAACGATTTAATCTGTTGAGAACCGGATTAAGTGAAACCTGTTTTCCTTTCTGGCCAAGTACTTCGCTAATTTGTGCTTTGACTCAAAATGGATTAAATCGAATAAGGATTGCATTACTTATTGAAAAATAACATGTTTCAATTCAAACGGACTTTGTTTTAAGTTAGTGACATTTCGCGACAGTGGAAGATCCAGGTTTATCAGGATTTCAAATAATTCACCTAAGCTGGCTAAGCTTACGAGAGCTTACTAAGCATTTAATCTGTAAAGATCAAGTCGGATTAGATAAATCCTGTTTTCCTTCTGGTCAGTACTTAGGTAAACCTGAGTTATTTGATATCACTTGTATGAAGACGAACAGGATTTTCTTAACTACTTTGTCATAAATTGATTTGAATTTTATTTATTTCTAAGAATTACTAATAAACGTAGTTACTATACATCGAGAATGTTCATTTATGTAAGCAGGGCTGAAAGTGGAACAAGCTAGGCCGATCTGGACGAAGGAGAGGGTGAGAGTTTGTTACCACGCCCAAGTTTCACTTTCTCAGACCCGTCACCGCCGTTCGCTTTGGCCGGTAAACCAACAACCACCACTTCGATTTTGAGCGGGAGACTTCACCACTTTTCGCAATCGAGATCGGAAAGAGCCGACGACTCGCACCGCAGTACGCAATCGGAACAATTTCCACCGTGAATTATCCATCGACCGGCGTGCGTCAGAAACCTCCAGGGTAGAAAGTTGACATTGACAGACGGTCTCTCGCCTTTATTGTTTCACCCGCCAGGACGGAATACAGGTAGCCGAGAGTCCCTGCCGTGATGACTGATGATGTTGTGGCAACCCGTCGGGTCTTTGCCGGCGCAAAAAAAATATAATTCGCACTTGCCTCGCTTTGGATGCCTCTCAAGAAGGTCAAAGATATATGGGAATAAAGGCACCCCCCTAAAGGTACATACCTTTCTAAGAAAAAAAATCAAGATATGATTGGAAAATTGACCAGGATCAGTAGCCCGTGCGGTTTTTTTTAAACTTTTTTAAACTGTGAGGAAGGGTGTAGGTAAAAAAAGGGCGACAAAGGCTCAATTACCAAGGTTTTTGAAAATCAAGACATTTAACCTTTTTTCTTTAAATGCTGCTTTTCATTAGTTGATCACGCAATAACTTGGGACTTCGTTGCACCTTGCACGAGAAAATTGCATGTATAATAAATCCATATATTCCGCCTGAAAAACACTTCTGAAAAAAGTCCCAATAACACTGATTGAATAAGCACAAGCGTAACAATTTACATAATACTTTATAATTTACAATTCTTGATTTTTTTTTTTTTTTTTTTTGCTTGAAGGACATAAAAATCAGCAAAGTAGGTTAAGATATATTGACGATAAGAGCAGAATGTGTTTTTGTTTGTTGGACTGCAATTTTTTTTTGTTGCAGAGTTCGGAATATTCGTTACGGATATCAACGAAATCTTGATGATCTGAGACAATCAGTACTTTTACTAACAAAAATTGTTTTCACAGACATGCTGGCCACTTCAAAAATTGAAGTGAAGCACGTTCCAAGTAGTCATCAACGATTCTAGCAGTGTAGACTCTTGCATTTTCTTGCAAAAAATAAAACCGTCGCCAATTAGTGGCATAAACAACTTCTGATAACACATCTTGAATGTATCGCGGATCCGTTAGGAACCCTCGATTAAGATCAAGTTTGCGCGACCTTCCATGGAAATGCATGCCCAACCCATTTCACCACCACCTCCAGAGCTACTCTGGAGTGAACAATGTTGATGATCGATATGCGCTGTCCTGTTGTCTCTAAAGCTTCTCTCGCCTGTCATAAGGCCTCAGACAAAACTTGACTCATCCGAAAACAAGATTTTTAAGCACCTTGGCCACCTACGCTTGGCTCTTCTATCTTCTAACATTGCTGTGATTCTAGCAGAATCTGTATCTCGTAAACCGTCTCTCAAACAAAGTTGAAACTTAAAAATGGTTCCTGCGTTAGAAAGAAGCTTTACAGAAAAAAAGAAAAGTTTGACTATTCAAAGATTTATTTACAAAATCCAATTGTAAACACAATTCGGTGATTATTCAGAAATCGTGAGATGCGGTCTAGTGTGATGTAGGTTTCAGAAAAACATTTTCTTTATCGTGCCTACGTTTCGATGTTTATTGAGATCATCTTCAGGGCCTGGGATTTACCAATTTACCAATCCCAGGCCCGATAAAGAAAATGTTTTTCTGAAACCTACATCACACCAGACCGCATCTCACCATTTCTGAATAATCATCGATTAACGGTCACTAATCACCACAGAATTCGGTGATTTCATCTGTTTTTTAGTTAACTCTAATGATTTAAAAAGGACCACATATTGTTGTAAGATAATCAATGAAGGATTTTCTAAGAGAAATTAAAAATATTAATCCACTTTTTTGCCTCTCAGTGTAGTTATTTACATTTGTCAAAACAAAATGAAGCCGATTATCTTTTTGTTGAACTGTATTCATGTTTCATCCCTAATGAAATTATCCTTAATGACGGATCTTTAAAGGTAATTTGAAAGGGTTTCTCTGAGATATGAAAGTGCAAAAGTAATTATGAATGAAATGCATCTACTATCCTGTCATTTCGGTTTTTATATCTTTTTTTTTAATTTAAAAGAATTGATATCGTTCAAATCTGTATAAAATATTTTAGTTTTTCTCCACAGTTCACGCAGTTCAGACAGCGCGCATTTGGTTCAAGATACGCTAAGATGGCCATAAGCTTGATTTGGACAGTTTACCAGTTAGTAAATAATGCATGAACGTTTTATACAGCCATCACGAGGGCCGCTTTGTTTAAAAGCCCCGGAGTTATTCTGCAGAACGTTCCTGAATACATTAAGACGGTTGATCTTCTCTTTAATTTACAAACTTGGATTTTAATTTTTTGTTCTTTTAGAATGAAAAGGATCACCTTTTTCTTCTCAATTAATAGACGAGTACCGGTCAAAAACCGCAAAAAATAACATTTAAATTAAAATATGGCAGAAATTGAAATAAATCTTGTTCTGGACTTTTTGTTTGACAAATTTGCTATTAACAATGTCAATATTGAAAACAGAAATACAAAGATAGATGGATAAATAGACAGAGAATGAATAGGGAAGGTGAGAAGGTTAGAGAGATTGAATGAGGAAATGATAAATGCTATATTATATACATTCAATTTATCTCCTCTATCCATTTATATATATANAGAGAGGGAGAGAGAGAGAGAGAGAG